CGCAGCACAGTTAAGGTTACAGTAAGGAGGCGGGGCCTAATTTGTACGGGAAATGTTTACTATGACGTCACGCATAATATAAGGTCTTCAAAATACCACAAAATGAAATTATTTGCTATTTCAAACAGCTGGATAGCTGTATACTACATACAAACTTACTATTACATGCAGTTTTGTCGTTTGTTAAGTCCCATACAACAGTATATAAACGATGCATCGATCGCAATGCACTTGTCAATGTGACGTCATCTTGCAAAAAATGACGCAGTTTTTACACAGTCAGAGACTGATCAAGTCACATTTTGTACAACGAAAAATGTCTTTTGTTCTCAAATGAAATATTATTTGCAGTAAAATAAAAAGCCATTAACTTGGATGCGATTTTAGTATTGTATTCATAAACTGTATGTGCATTCATCAGACAAGCGATACCGTCGTGTGTTTGTATGCAGATTCATTGAAAAAGTAATGGAAGGGCCTTAACAAATCGATTTATTGCAAGGGCATACCCTCAATGTATCCTGTCAAAATTTTACACATAAACTCAAGAAGCATTAAGATATTTGAAAAGTGCTGCGAACCTCTTGAAATCTTGCAAATAAATTAATTATAACTATATTTCATGTTGTTGACCAGCAAAATATCCAACCTGCCGTCCAACAAATTAAATTTTACCAATTAAAAAAGGGAATCTATATAGGTTCGCAGCACTTTTCACAAACTACATATAGTGTTGAAAAGGATTATAAAATAAAATAAGATTTTTAACTTGGTTATGCCCTTGCAATATTGAAATTTATAGATGACCTCTAAACTACAAATATAATTGCCAAAGTCATATGACGTCGACATACATGACAAGTCTAAATAAAAAAAATCTAAATGTCCCCAACATGTAGATTTAAACCACATTACATTTTTTTTTATATCAGTGAATTCCTAAAAGATTCGCCCATCCTAATAAAGTATGTATTTTTTATCTTAAAAAATCGCCGATATTTCCATTTGTAACCTTAACTGTGCTGCGTAGACACTGTCAGAGTCATTCCTGAACATTACAAACACTTTGTTCTACTTTCAATTGAAACCAGTGAGTAGCAAACTTGGTCAAAGAATACTAGGCCAAGATCTTCACGTTGATTGTGTCATCATTGTTCCACTGTTAAAGGCTAATAATGCCACGTACATGTTCTTAGCATTGCTTGCCAGCGGCGACATACAACTCAACCCCGGTCCAGCAACTCGTAAAGTATCACATCCATGTATTGTGTGTGGAAAGGGTGTTATTAAAATAAGCAAAGCCACTTTATGTGACAAATGTAAATGTAAAACACATGTTCGATGCGTCGGTGACCAACGTCAGAAAACAACCAAACTTATAGAGGAAACAAAAGTATTTATTTGCAATAAATGTATAGTCATCAAGGCTTTTCAGTCTCTACAAACAATGAACCTGCTCGAACAGAATCACTGAATCCTTCCGACACATGTTCAAGTAGTCCACCAAGGTTATCTCTTCCTAAAGACGACATGTTTTCAAGAGAAAGGATTGCATCTTATTCACTTAAATACTAGACCACTCCTACCAAAAATTAGTGAACTTAGGCATATTGCCAGAAAAACTCGTGCGGCAGCTATTGCAATTTCTGAGTCGTGGCTAGATAAGTCTGTAAATAACAGTGAAGTATCCATAGAAGGTTATAGCCTAGAAAGGTTAGATCGTAACCGCAATGGTGATGGAGTATGTCTGTATATAAACAATAAACTAGCATACACACGCATAGAGGATGTGACCACCACGGATGAAGAGATACTCCTAGTTAACATCTACCTTCCCAAGTCGAAGCCTATTATTTTAGGCGTAGGATATAGACCACCGAATCACTCCAGTTCTAGTACCAAAAATTATTTCCAATGGAATTGATAATTACATGTATTAGTACATATATTACATTTATAAACATGATAAAATCATCTTTGTGGGTTAACAGAGCTTAACTAGGCTCAAGATCAAACTTTTATCTACATTTTACTGTGTAACTGTGTATTCAATTGGGAAAAAGTCAGAGTAATTAAGCGATTATTCAATATTGACCGATTTGACTTCCCTAATATTTTTTTGGATTTCTCTCTCTCTCTCTCTCTCTCTCTCTCTCAAGCCTACTATTATAAGTAATCATGTATTTGCATGTATTTTAAAAAAAAAATAAAAGAAAATCAACAAAAATAAGAAATTTCAAAATATACTTTCAAAAATAGTATTCGGTTCATTTTTGCCATCATAACAAGAACATTTGTTATGCTCTCAAAAATATGAATGATAACTTATGAAAAATTTTTCCACTAGAAATATAATATTGATGTACTCACCTTCAGAAAAGTGTTTCTGGTTGTGCTGAGTTGAGTTTTCCTCTGCCATTTAGAGCAAATTCACAATGCAATCTTAATTTTATCCCACTTTCTGTTAGCTGCCTCCGTAGGGACTAAAATACAAAGTAGTTTTTCTGCTTGCGTCTTAATTTCTGTCCAAATTTTACAGTTTTGGCCCATCCTTCAACATACATGTATTTACATTAAATGAGAAAGGATATATAAATGTATGTACACAAACTCGGCATGATAATTCCTCAAATAATTTCTCCCAGGCATGTTATCATGGTAATTATAGAGTACATCAAGTTCCTTCGATAAGACCCGACCATAACAGCTACTGTATCATATTACGATATCTCATCTATAAAGCATGCCTGCATATAGGGAGGCGACATTTTCAAGTTAAAACAATACAAGCTAGATAATTAAGGGTGACAATAAAAGATAGGCTAATATCACACAGCGTGATCGAGTTACCTTGCTTATCATGCTTATTTTGAAGAGAAGGCCTGTCACTTCCATTCAACCATGATTATAAATCATTTGTCATGTGTTTGTGCTCCACGTGGGTTTGTTGTCAATAATTTCACGCTGAATCGTCTTATGTTAGATTATTACGAGAATGTAGTAGATATATAAAAATTAACAATTGATAAAAGGAGTTACATGCCTCTTTTCTTGTATTTTATACAAGATTATTGAAAAGATTAGTTCCACATGAGCTATGTACCTGTCATTAATTCTAAAACATAATTACCTACTTGAACTATTTTGTCCCTCGTAGTATCGCTTCAGGACCCCGTGCTAATCAAACGTTGAACCCGATTTGGTTACAGGATACTAATTTTACCCCTATTTCATTGACCACGCAAAGAGTTCCAGATTAAAAATAGAGGTTTTTTTCTTTAAAAATCTTGGGGATGTATATATGGGGTGGAATGGGTTTATTTTAGGGCATAAATGGAAAGGAGAGGGTCTGAAAAAAATTATAAAATTAAGAATAATGGGAATTTTGCTATGAAGTGCGTAGTAGAAAGGGTGTAAAGAGGCCATTGTTCACCTGTTTCTCAACGGGAAATGGAAATATGCAGGGTAGGGGTTAATTGCAGTGCCATAGCAAGGCTTGTAGACTACAGAATTTTTTGAGATTTGAGAATATTTTTGGCCTTGGATTGATCTAGCTCTGTGCCAAATTTCAGGTGAGTTGAGGCGGTGAATTTTTTTAAAATGATTTTTTATGTTATAAAGGAATGTATAGCAAAATAATTGGTAGTCCGTGTCCATTTGTTTATGTTTTAGACATACAGAGTTGTCGCTCGTTCTTCTCTCAAACGTGAAACGTATCAGGAGTACTAAAGTAACTATTCGTTCTATTATTAGGCTATTATTTTTATTGGACTTTTTTACATTAATCCAAATAAATTGTTAACATAAATTCGCCATAACACACGCTTTTTGATATGTTAATACCGATAAAGATTGGGAAGGGGGACGAATATGATTTAGCGGGTTGTTTGCCCTTAGTTTAAGATACATCCGTTTGGAGTACCATGAAACGGGGCAAACATCTTGAGAGGTCGAAAGGTCAACGAAGCAAATGTAATAGGTGGCTTCCGCCTAAAAAATAATACCTGCAGCTGGTGCCGACAGTTTGACAAGTTTTTTAAGTGCTGAGGAGTCCAGTGTCACTGTAGCTTTGGCATTATCAAATATAAGTGATTTCAGGTCTTCAAACTCTATTTCTGTCTGTTTTTCAGAGATTTCAATTATTTCATCTCCAAAGTTATGGAGATGAAATTTCAAGATTTTAATTTTTTTTTTCAATGAAGATACATAAATGGTAGGGATGTCAATTTTACAGCTTAGTCGAATAGTCGGATGCTTTAGTCATGTTAAATTAGTTGAACGATAGTCGAATATTCGTTCAATTTTGATTATTTTTTCGTACCTGAGTTCACTGTTTGTCTTTTACAGACTAGTTTACAATATTTTATATAGTTACGCTATCACTATTACAAGTATACAACAGCTTTCTGAATTGTAAACATGTACGTAGTGCAATAAAACTGTACATCAATATGTATCCAATGCATTTAATTAATTTCAAAATTAATACATTGGCTGCACATGTTATCTAAATGCAGCTAGATATCAAACGCTCGTATTTTGTCCTTTTTATGGCGTCGGGCTTGCCCGATCGTCATCTAGGGATCAGTCAGGTTTACGCGACCGTATGTGTCAGTGGATGCATCCGCAATAGAAAATAGCAATAGCTATAAACCGATTTCTTTTAAAACGTTCACAATGAATAATAGCTTGAATATAAAATTAAATCAATTGTATCTTCAATTAATACTACTACAAAACAACGATATTATTTGTAATTTATACGCAAGAAAAACGTTATGGTTGTTGCGGAGGAATTTCTACTGAGAGGGTGCGTCGAATGATATGAATCACATTTTGGGACCGATTACTGTAATACAAACAATCTTAAATACGGTAAAATAATTACAAAATAAACACGAATATAGCAAGACTATAAAGAATTGAATTTCTTTATCTTAGCTTTACTTTTACGATCTTCAATCCAATTTTAGCCGAACAACCTACGATATTGACCAGTAATGCCAGCATTACCGTATTTATCCATTTCCTCCATTTGTTTACCGCGCCTTATGATCGTAAGTCGATCGTACTTGTAACACAAGTAGAGCTTTTCAAAAAAGCTTGCCGTCTTTAGCAACAATTTTAAACAGTAAACAGATCTATACTTAACAGGCCGTATAATTCTTTTGAATTTCTTGATTTTGTATTTCTAAATTAGCTTTTTATGTGCATTAGCCCTACCATGGTTGTCGCTCGGTCATCTCCGTCAACTTTGACTGGCCGAGAGCTTTCAGCAAACCTCGGCTGATTCCCATTTACTCTTCAAACAAGAAAGGGGAAAAGAATAATAACAAATTGTAAAGCCTGCAAGCAATAACTATCAAATTTTATTTATAATGAAATTAAAGAGACCTGTTATTAAGAAATAATTACTGCTAATTTTGTTGTTCGTTTTGTCATTTTTTTAAAATTGGAAATCTTGCAAAATTGTTAAGTCGTACGAAAAATAGATCATCAGAAAGTTATCTCCCTTGCCCTGAACAGCATTTCAACCAATGAAATAATTGAAAATTTTCTCATCATGCAATTTCTACCAATCGCAGAAGAGAGGAAGTGCATAGTCCGAAGACTGTAAAAAACTTCAACTATACAATACCGTCTTTCAAGGAAGACGGTAATTAGAGTCATGGTTGTAGTTAAGATGCAATCACTATACAACAGAACAACACTCTGACAATGGCAATTAATTAAAATAATTTATGAAACCCTTCATATGTCTTCGATTGACTGAAAAGAAATTAGATTGATTTTCAGGATGGACATTTCTGACGATGTCTGGTCAATTCGAACCCTGACTCATTCGGACCAGGACACAAGGCTATCAGGCCCTATACTGTATTTGTGTTAAGACTATTTTTTTTAATTTTATTATTATGTTACTGAAGTCACTCACTTGACCTATTTGCAGATCTTTTGAAATTGTTTTTCTTGTTCGACGCCATTGAAGCCTTTCAGGCTTTTGATAATACATAGCGGTAGTACATGTACCCCATAATTAAAGCCAATTTCTACGTGTCCGTCAATGACCTTTGACAGGTAAACAATTAATAAAAGTGTGTCTCTTATAAAAACAAAGAGAGAGCGAGAGCCCGAGAGCTTAGGGTAAATTTAAATTATGAAATTTGTGCAAACAATCAATGATTTTATGAAATAAATATGTATACATGTATCATAAAAAGAAAACACGGTTTAATTACTCCCATAACTGACCCCGATTTACTTAAGAAATAAGGTATCATTTTCAAACATCTATCGGGATAGAAATACGGGTTGGTCACGAGATTAAATTCCATAAAGCCCAAAGGACTTTATGATGAATTTTATCTCGTACCAACCCGTATTTATAGCCCGATAGATGTTTGAAAATTGATAATAAGAACTTGGGTTGTGTCTTCGAATGCGAAAACCATTTAGGAGGGAGGAATGTAATGGTTTGGGCCGTGGATATCGGCCTGGATAGCTCAGTTGGTAGAACACCTGACTAGAGATGCAGGGGTCCCGGGTTCGATTCCCGGTCCAGCCATACATTTTCTCCTTTCCTGTTACAGATTTGGTGCCGTTGACCACCCCTGGAATTGCAGGTGAAAGTCCTGCCAGGGGCAATAAGAACTTGGTTTGTGTCTTCGAGGGCGAAAACCATTTAGGAGGGAGGAATGTAATGGTTTGGGCCGTGGATATCGGCCTGGATAGCTCAGTAGGTAGAGCACCTGACTAGAGATACAGGGGTCTCAGGTTCGATTCCCGGTCCAGCCATACATTTTCTCCTTTCCTGTTACAGATTTGGTGCCGTTGACCACCCCTGGAATTGCAGGTGAAAGTCCTGTCAGGGGCAATAAGAACTTGGGTTGTGTCTTCGAGGGCGAAGACCATTTAGGAGGGAGGAATGTAATGGTTAGGGCCGTGGATATCGGCCTGGATAGCTCAGTAGGTAAAGCACCTGACTAGAGATGCAGGGGTCCCGGCTTCGATTCCCGGTCCAGCCATACATTTTCTCCTTTCCTGTTACAAATTAATATTCTTTCTAAATAGTTGTATCACGTCAGATCTTAGTTTGAATCTACAAAACTAAACAATTGCCCTCTCCATTTAAAACAGTAAGAGGTAAACAATCATTATAATAAACATGTTTGATTTTCTCTCCCATTCTGCTTTTTTTTTGACATTTTTGCGAACTTACTATAGAAAAGTTTCACTTGAAGACTGTGTATATGCTTGACTGATTCGGTTTATGATACATCATGTTTGATGTTACACTGCAAAATACAAGTTGGGAATATACTATCACCAATTACTGCAGCTGACGCAACAAAAAACTGTGGATTTTGAAGTCATGTTTGCCGCGCATGCATCGACGTACAATTTAATTAATTTCAGAATTAATACATGTATATTGGCTGCACATTTTATCTAAATGCAGCTAGATATCAAACTCTCGTATTTTGTCCTTTTTATACATAGCGGTAGTACATGTACCCCATAATTAAAGCCAATTTCTACGTGTCCGTCAATGACCTTTGACAGGTAAACAATTAAAGTGTGTCTCATAAAAACAAAGAGAGAGCGAGAACCCGAGAGCTTTGGGTAAATCTAAATTATGAAATTTGTGCAAACAATCAATGATTGTATGAAATAAATATGTATACATGTATCAGAAAAAGAAAACACTGTTTAAGTACTCTCATAACTGACCCCGATTTACTTAAGAAATAAGGTATCATTTTCAAACATCTATCGGGATAGAAATACGGGTTAGTCACGAGATTAAATTCCATAAAGGGCTTTATGATGAATTTAATCTCGTACCAACCCGTATTTATAGCCCGATAGATGTGTAAAATTCATGAAATTGATACCTTATTACTTATATTTACATTTGTGACTTATTCATACTTTATGTTTGCCTGATTGTGACTTTTAGCGTGTGAGAATGCATTATTTTTCAAACTCAACGGCAAGTATGTGATCTACTGAACGCGCGTCGACCCTTTATGACGTCACTGAGAAATTACGTCAAACGATTATCCATACGCACATCTATGACCTCTTGACCCCATACCTGTATTTATACAGTTATAATTTAATTCTGATTGTAAAGCTGTATTTGATTGGATAAAAAATTATTTTATATTGTATAAAATGGGTTGCCTACGTCACAATGACATTCGTCAAAAACGTATCAATCCGCCTGACGTTACGTTCAAATTTTGTACAAATTGAAGTCATTTTGTTAGAACAATCATAATTTTTTTCTTACATCAAATGAATGAAAATTAAATTATATGCAATGAATTTAATAGCTACCCATTTTATACGGTATAAACTGGGTTGGAACAGTTTACGCTTTTTGGGAGTTGAACTATGTTCAATCTCCCATGGTCATCACGTATTTAACATGCGCAGTAATTTGTGTTGATTATATAGAGCCGAAAGCGAGGCTACTGTGTCGGCTGATTTACTCCGATGATGTTCAACAGAAAACATGTATAAACATCCGCCGCAAATAGTTCATGTCATTTTCTCCTGAATTTTTAATTTTCATAATTTGAAATGTAAGTAAATGTAGTATTGACAAAGAAATCTTATTTTGAATATTAGATTTCGTTCAAAGTAAAACTAAATTATAAAGAACCTCAAAAAATTTTCGTAATGGAACTCATTTTTTTGTGTGGCGTCGTGCGAGGTACGAGTCATCCGAGGAACTCCGAATGGAAAAAGATTCGATCGACAACTCTACATACTAACGGCAAGCGGTAAAGCTAGTCGTCCGGACGCCCGACGGTCCCGGATTTTTAGCAATTTTTTTTTACCGGTGCACAGAATTTATTCAAACTTTTCATGAACATTTTCTTGGTTGAAATGAATTCATTAATGCATAAAAACTTTAGGAAACATGCGTATTTATTACTAAATCAGCAGTATCACCTGCCGAAAGCGGTAAATCTAGTACTCTGTTATAAATGTTAAAACCAAAAACGGACATTGATGTTTTCGTAAAATCATTTCGTAAAAACAACAAAATGAAGTTGTTTTTTTTTTTTAATAAAAGGAAAACCTCATTTACATACCAGATAACTCGTACGCACACAAACTCTCACAGATACCACTGTTTTTATGTTTGGTCATTAAATATTTGTGTTAAACTTGGTACATGTATTGTTTTTTTCTTCACAATATTAAAAAAGATTAAGTTCTGACGTACTCCATGTATAATGTTCGTGTAATTGAAATACATTTATATTCACAGAGAAGTTTTATATAACAAACCTGTAAGTTCTTAATAGGATGGTGTGTTAAAATCCACATTTTATCAACATTGATATTATTCCTGCGAAACTGAAATTTTCATAACACATGGGTAAAGGTGCCAAGGAAAAATATCTTACAAATTTGAAGACTGTGAGCAGTGAATTATATAAATGATCAACCGCCTCTAATATAAATATAATGGCAGTGTCCATGTTTTTGCAATGGGAAACCCAAAATATGTGTAGGATTGAAAAGTAATAGAAGATGCAAAACAGCAAAATGTAATAAAGATTCTATGAAAATTTCGTTCAGTGGTGTAAGAGGAGTTGCGGATAAGAAATGGGTATACCTAAAGCGTAACAAACAGATAGAAGGAAATCCAGATTAATAAATACCCTCCAGCTTTTCAAGCAGGGGGTATAAAAAAGACTAATGTAGGCAGGCAACAATATGACCCCTGCATTTTTTGCTATTCAATGTCTCTGAATGTCTTTCTCAAGATTTTTGCATCTCAAAAAATATGAAACAGTTGTCTGTATTTGAAATAATAATATTGTTCACTCACTTAACCTCCCGATCAAAGATTTTATTTAACACCACGTTCAACTCCCATGAGTGCTTTCAGTACTTTGATTTATAAACCGCTTCGCTTCGCGGTTTATAAAGCGTAAACTGTCCCGAAAGGTATAATGCCCTGATAGTATAATGCCCTGATTGACCTGATTACATATATATACTGAAATAAAGAGTTTTTATGTGCATAAACAATGTTATTTTTAATGGAAATTGTTAATATCATTATTATAAGAATCATGAAGAAAATGCTAAAATAAAATATTTTTATTAAGTTTTATTTGACAGAGAACATTGACAGGGGTATAATGTCCTGATTTAAGGGTATAATGACCTGATGACCTGATAGTATAAAAACTTCTAATAAACCCAACTTAGCAAAACTATAAACTATACCGTATAAAATGGGTAGCTATTAAATTCATTCTTTTAAAATAGATACGCATTCCTTTCAGTAGTGTTATATAATAGAAAACATTTGCAAATGTAAATATATTTATTATATACCTAATGTGTATCACCCTATTTTACTGTTGAATTTACGCTATCACGTGACGTCGTGATCCGATTTTCCGGATCTGTTTTCTGAATCCATATCACCACTCCATACTACCCATAGTCCTCTGCGTCTCCTCACACAAACTTCCGCCAGAGTTCGTTTGTACCAAACATATTATCGGAGAAATTGTCTTTGTCTCATAATTTGATGATGGAAAATTAAATTATAAGGACCAATTTTAAAAGCTTCCCAAGTGATACTGGTATAACATGGGTTTTTTTAAAATTGGCTAGTGTAAACTGTCCTAAGACAAGTTATATACATGAAATATAACTTGGGTAGCTATAAAATTCATTCCTTAAGAGGTTTTGATATTTTTAGGCACACAGTGATTTCCTACACACAGTTGGTGAGGCCCTACTGATTCAGCTATGTATGAAGAAATTTTCGATGGACAGCTTAGAGAGTGCTCCTGTTATTCCAAATTTAAGTCTGCCAGAAAACATCAGAAACACACACATTAAAACAAGAGAACCTCTATTTTGGAAGGTTGTTCAAGAAATTGTGAATGAAATATTCATGGAATTTCATAACCCAGGATGTTTACCTCCAGTGCAGTTGGAATTTGGTGGTAGTTCTGTGATAATTCCCAGAGAACAACTGTGCAAAAATGGCTATGTTGATGTGAAAATGCCATCTGGGGAAGTTTTTAGAGTATTTAATTCACATGAAACCACAGATGACATACAGAACTACTCTTTACAATTACTGATGTGGTATATCCATTTTTGTGAATTTCAGGATGGCATACGAGAAGGAGACCCTTTCAGGACCAACATTAACTTAAAAAGAATGATTCCCTTCTTTTACAGTCATTCAGATCGATCCAAATATGCAGTTGAGTGCATAGATTATATCCTCAAAACAGAAGTTCTATTACCACAGCACACAGCTATGAGAGTGAGACTCGGTAGTTTTGTTAACCCACATGGAAAGAAAGGAGGAAATAAGCCAGCTGACATGCAACAAGAAAATAACATTCTTGTTCTCAAAGATGTTATAAAAGGTTTAGGAGCTAACAAAACAAAAAAAGCCATGGAACGTGCATCTGCAGCAGCTCCTGTTGTGGCAGAAACTGTAGAAAATTATATGAACAATATTGGGTGTGTATCAAGGAGTGGAAAACACAATACAAAAGACAATTTGGAAGACGTGACACTTCTAGTCCAACTTTTAAGTCGATTAGACCCATTTAGTGTGATTGATAACCGCAAGATGAATTTTTACAGTGGTTTCAGGAAAAATCCATTCTCAGCTATATCTTCAGATTTTAACTCCCATCTTTTCAAAATAGTTGAGCGCTTGAAAAGATGTCAGAACATTGACCTTGAATACTACAACCAGTAACAATCAACAATAGGTATGGGGATGAGAAGGGAGTTGGGGGGGGGGGGTAAATTGTGTCTGATTGCAGTGTATGATTGCTGTTTGTATTATGTCAAAATAATGTTATATGTTTGGATGTTTCATGTATTTTAGCTCACTTGAGCTAAAGTCTCAAGTGTCACAGCTTTTCTTATCAAAATTGTTAGTTGAAATCATTATCTTAATGTTTTCCTATTTTTATCACTTTAGAATAATTCTGCCGATTTCAACCGCCATAAGGTATCTTTTGGACTACACACTTTTTAAGGGGAGATAATTTAAAACTAGTGAATTTTAATAGCATCTTTTAAACATCTTTTTCTCAGGAACCGCTAAGATAGAAAAAAAAAATGAAACTCATGTAGAAGCTTCATTTATAGTGTAGATTCAAGTCATGTTCATGTCATGACCTGCAGGGTAAGGTGGGGCCATGAAGGGCAATCAGTGTAGCATAGAAATATATAGGAAGAATCTTAAGAAATTGGAAAAGCAATGATTAGTCATATTTATGGGAAAACATCCTCAAATATTGTTGATTCAAGTTTATAGGAAAAATCTTTTAAATTTTTCTCAAGGCTAGCAAAGCCATGATAAGTGAATTTTACTGTCAAGAGTGTTTTATTAGTGTAGATTCAAGTTTGTTCAAATGACCCTCAAAGGTAGAATGGCAATGGCCCACGCTGTTATCAAAACTTTACATGTGAAAACACAATAGGGCCATGTGATTGAGGAGAGAAATGTGGCCAGTGGGCCTCTTTGTTATATGTATTTAATTGAAGATAATATGTAGTAAAAGAATATATTTCAACTGAAACTTCATAACAAATGTGCGCCAGTAGTTGAATTCTTTTCATGTATTAAAAATCATATAAAAATCAAATGTTTCATTTTTACATCTGACACTAAGTCAAGGTCTTTCATGAACAGGTTTACAAGGCGGATAGATCACACCATCCTTTTACAGTGCAATTGTAGTAACAAGAAGTGCGATCTGGTAATAGGTCCTGTAATACTGGGAATGTACTTAAATAATGATGAAGTTGTGCTCACTTGGGAATGCTATGACACAATGTTAAAATTCACAGTCTGAGCAACAGCATAAAATTTCACATACATCACAGCATTTGCATTTTTTGTTTCCAACATCTGGTTTAAAATCTAGATGCTTTAACAACTGCACACTCAAACAGGTGTCTGTACTTATGCAGTATTGACGCATGGAATGTTGCATCCCAGGTCTGTTGATCCTGACATCTGTTTTATTAACATACAAAACTGCTTCGGCAGCTAACCCATCTCGCCCCGCACGACCAGTTTCTTGCAAGTATTTTTCGATGCTTGTTGGACATTTAAAATGAATGACCTTTCGAACGGCAGGTGCATGCAGACCTATGCCAAGGGCTACCGTTGCCAGAACTACTCTAATTATTGGATCAGATTTTCCCAGTTCCCCTATGATAAAATTTTTCATTTTCTCTGGATAATGGGTATGGTACTGTGCATAATACCTGTTCTCAGGAGACTCAATCCCTAACTTGTTCTCCAAAAATCTATAGCCATACCTAATTGACTCCAGATCAGTGTAAATGAAAGTGAGAGGATAATGTCTTCTGTCCTTTTGTAGACCTGTCACAATATCTCCTAAAATTTTGTCAAGGTCGTCTTCTTGTCGCATGCTGGGTAGTCGTTGGTATTTGTAATACTTGATGTTGGGTCTGTCTGGATTCTTGGAAATAAAAGTGGGATTCCTTAAACCAAGGTTTTTTACCAGCTTTTCCTTTGTCGATTGTGATGCTGTTGCTGTAAAAAGGGACACGGGTACTCTAGGGAAAATGCCCAGCAATTCTTGTATCCTAGCAAAGTCCTTTCGAAAGTCTTCAAACCCTTAAAACAAATAACAAATAGGCCAAGCTTAAAAAAATCTTTGTTTGCAGTTGCCAACCTATAATTTTTAGACTGGGTAGGTAGGTAGGCATTCTTTTTTTTTTTTAAATTGTCTTCAGATTTTTGTTAGATATCAAATAATAGAGCTTTACAAAGGCCTACTGAAGATGAATAAGTTCCACTATTGTTTTAAACTACTGATTGATGAAAACAAAAGTCAAAAACTGAAAATGAAATAGTTTCAATATCCTGAAAAAGTAAAAAAAAAAAAAAATAATTTACTAAATGGCTAAAAAAAAGTTTGCATCAGGTGCATTTTCATTGGGTAGGTAGGCAACTGCAAGCAAACAATTTTTATTTTAGGCCTTACAATTTTAAAATAGTTTATTTGAAGGGGGGAACACTTAAAATGAAGAAAAGTTTTGGAGTTACAATCACTGCTCACCTAAGCTAAGAGCTCAAGTAAACTCATATTTTGTCTATCTGTCTTTCCATAAACATTTCACATTTTTGTTTCTTCTCCAGAACCACAATTTTAACCCAACTTGTCACAAAGCATCCTTGAGTAAAGTGGATTCAAGCTTGTTCTAATAATAATAATAATAATAATGATAATAATAATGCTTTATTTAGAGAAGGTAACCCGATTAGTACCAGGTACTATTCTTCCCCGGGGCCTTCTAATTTCAAACAACATATTACATAAAATGATACAATCAAAGATAAAACATGTAGAGTTCGTTAGTGCATAATGTAATGTACATCTAAATGAGATATAGATTCAAAATTAATAAAGAAGTCAATATTAATTGTTCAAGAGACATTGTCTTAAACAATAGTAATAGTCAAACATCTTGTACAAAGGACATATTCAAACATTTATTTACATACGTTGGCTAATTATAATTTTTTCTACATTTCGTCTAAAAATAGGTAAGGTTGGTGATAATTTTATATGTAATGGTAGGTTATTCCATAAATTTACACCTGAATATTGAATAGAATTTGTAAATAAAATTGTTCTATGTTTTGGTAAACGAAGATTATAATTTAATTCTGAACGTAAGGAATAGGAATCATTGCTATGAAAAACAAAAAGGTCCTGGAGATATTCGGGGCTCATACCATAAAAAGTTTTGTACAATAAAATACACTTATGTAGAGTGACTAATTCAAATACATTTAGCCATCCCAGTTTTTCAAACAATGGTTTTGATTGTTCGTCGGGTGCTGCATCAAGAATAATTCTAGCAGCCCGTTTCTGAAGTTTATGAATTCTTTCAATGCTAGTTTTAGATGCATTGCCCCATATTGTAAGACAATAGTTTATTGAAGGCAAAATATATGCATTATAAAAAAGTTTTCTGGTATTTAATGGAAGAAATTTCTTAATTTTACGGAGTGTAAATAACTTGTATGTTAAGGATTTACAAACTGAATCTACATGATAATTATAATGAAGATTTTGATCTATATAGACACCTAAGAGTTTTTCAACATTAACATTTTCAAGCTTTTCTCCAGAAATTTCTGTATTAAGTTCTGGAATATCTAATTTTGACCTTTTTTGTTGTGTACACATAAGCATAGATTTTGATTTGTTCGTGTTCAGAATCATTTGGTTCTGTAAACACCAGTTTTCAATTTCGCATAAATCATAATTCAAAAATGTTTCAATATTATGTACATTGTTATCAGATAAATGCAGAGTTGCATCATCTGCAAACATATCAATATTACAGTGATTGACACATAGGGGGAGGTCATTTATGTACAATAAAAATAGCAGTGGACCTAAAATAGATCCCTGGGGCACCCCTGCTGTGATAGGTAAGATATCAGAAGAACATGCACCAATTTTAACACTTTGGGTTCTTTCATTTAAATAAGACTGAAACCATTTAATTGTAAGTGAATCAAAGTTATAGTGCCTCAATTTCTCAATTAAGAGAATGGCCATGCTCTTTTGCAAAGGGAGATAATTAAGAATAAATGACAATTTGTTGGCATTATTTAAATTTCTCAAAAACCACTTTGCTACAAAAGTGGAAACTCCAATAAATATGTAGATTCAAGTTTGCTCAAATCATGACCCCCAGGGGAGCCACAGTGCCAGTGGGCATCAAACTTTAACATTTATATGGAAAATATCTTCTACTGAACAACAAAGTCATGATAAGTCTCATTTTGATATAGAAGAATCTTCAAGGAGTGCAGATTAATGTGGTCACATCATGACACATGGGGATGGGATTGGCCGGCTATAATGGAATTAATTTTTGTAAGAATATATAGGAGAAAAAAACATGCTGATAAACAATGATAATCATAATGACTCAGGTGAGCCTTTTGGCCTATGGGCCTCTTGTTCTCTTAATATACTGTAAATGTAAACCAATTACTTTATTTACCAGGGATAAACGTTGATTTATTTTCGCGATAAATATAGACACATACACTGTAAGGACTTTTTTGGCAGAAATTTTGAATTTGAAGCGTGTTCGATATAAATTAGCCTAGGTTTGGTTTAGCGTATTTCTTCGTATTCTTATTTATGTGTATAAGTGCAAGACATTTTACTTGACTTAGCTGTTGTTGAGTTCCGCCAAAGCTGCTAAAAAGAATACACAGCCAAATGTAATACGTTTACAGTATATCATACCATTCTTGTATCATGTGTGCTTCATCTATGCAGATACCACACACGTGATCCTGCAAAGCTTGGCTTTGTAGAATTTTCCTTCCTTCTCTTGAAGAAAGGAATGCCTCTGGATGGGCATAAATAAGGCGGAATTTTCCAGCTGCCACTTCTTCTGGAGAAACTTTCATCAGCAGCTTCCCAACATCTTCATCAGTTTCATCATCAATACTGCTGTCCTCTCTTTCCTCACTTTCATCCTCAATATCTACAGGATTACAGAACTTAATATGCTCATTATTATTTGTGTTTAACTGCTATAAAGAAAATCTTAAATAATTTATTACACCCACTTACTTACAAAGAGTTATCACAAAGAAAAAAAAATAGAAAAATATATTTAGTATATATCTTGGCCATTTGAATTTAGTACAAATGATTCATTTCGTTAGTTGCACTTCAGACTGCCCCCCAGGACTTGAACCTGGACTTCCTCAATGCTGGCAAATGCTTGAAGCATGAGGTGTGCTGTCCATTTACACTAAGACAATCTGTAAAGTACTATATGTATCCACAACAACAAAAAAAATCATGTAATTTAGGAATTATGTAATTGAGGAATTATTTGGAAATGTGAAAAGAAACAGAAGACAGGTCACAGCTAAGAACTTAAGGTCAGGTCTAAATTGTTGAAGAAACTGTCACTTGAAGGTTTATTTCAAGGTTATAAATACCATATGCTTAATATAAACTTAGTCTCTCTTACTTCATTAAACAGTGATTTAAATATTCAAAATATTTCTTTATTTAGGTTCTATAGTGAGGTATTTGCATACATTTTATCAAAATATGTTAGGGGGCACTTTTACCAAAAGCAGGAGGCATTCTGACCATTTAATTGGGGACAGTAAAGTATTTCTTATATAAATTTATGTTAGGGGGCGCTTTGACCAAAATCAGGGGACGCTTTGACTAAAATCAGAGGACACTTAGACGAATATTTGGTGGTGGTATTTTTTATATAAAAATATGTTAGGGGGCGCTTTGACTAAAGACAAGGGGCGCTTTGACTATAAAATCGAGACGCTTTGACCAATATTTGGGGGCGGTATTTTTTTCTAAAAAAATATGTTAGGGGGCGCTTTGACCAAAGTTAAGGAGCGCTTTGACTAAAATTAGGGGTTGCTTTGACCAATATCTGGGGGCAGTATTTTTTTCTAAAAAAAATATGTTAGGGGGCGCTTTGACCAAAATTAAGGGGCACTTTGACCAAGATCAGGGGATGCTTTGACCGGGACGTTTTTATTAGGGGGCTCTTTGACCGGCTCCCACATGTACATGTATGGTTTATTAATTATTTTAATTGATACTTGATAGTTTTATAGAGATGTAATGGTTAGGGCTGTGGGTTTCAATGATAAATAATAAGGTGATAAACTGTGATGATAAATATTGTCATACAGGTCCTTAATTAGTCATTAGCAGGCCCAGTACAATCACTAGATTTAGCTATAAGCCTATGTAGGTAGAATTACCTACGTGGCTTTATTTACCTACCTCAGGTAGCTTTATTTAGCTATTTCAATGCAACTTTTCAGTTCAAAGTTGAAAAAGATCATTGCATCAAATTGGGATATTTTGCACATCCTGAGAAAAATGTTTTTTTATAGATATAAATTGATCTGGTAGCTAAATAAATCTACATCAGGTAGGTAAATAAAGCTAAGTAGGTAAATCAAACTATGTAGCTAAATCTAGTGATTGTACCAGACCTGATTAGAAATATTAGAAATATTAGGCCCCTAATGAGTAACAGATTAAAAATGTAATACCCGTCCCCAATGCAGGTTTCAATATGTAGGTAGAACCATCTCTTCCCGTTATATCTAGGAAACAAGCTGGAATGCCGCTTTCGCACAGTTTCCTAACCTGATCCTTCATAATCGCGTTCAATGGCGATATAACAAGGACAACTGCCATGGGATCCTCGGTAATAAATGGCATAAGCTGAAAAATGACACTTTTCCCAAAACCAGTCGGTAGTAAACACACAAGGTCCTTCGATTCTGTAAATGCACGAAGTGCTGATATCTGTTCTGGTTTTAATTCATATGTTATCCCTAACTTCTGTTTAGCACTAGTTAATCTGGCTGAATCCATTTTTTGTTGTTGAAGTGAAAGTAGAGAAAATAATAATATTTGAAAAATAATTTATTTCTGTTTTTTGTTATTTTTTACATGTCAATTCAATATATATTCTATATAAAACTTGAATCTTCATTCATATTTAAGAATTTTTTTTAGTTTTATTACGTAAAAATTGGGGTGATAACTTCGCACTTATTCTTTCCTGTTATTCGGCCGCGTTGTAATCGCGGATGTTTATTATCCCGATTTGGTATGCGTTATGCGTTAAATGGTAGTGTCTCTGTGTGCGGAGACGCAGAGGACTATGGGTAGTATGTACAAACGAACTCTGGCGGAAGTTTGATCACCACTCTCTGAAACTGATGACGTAGTACGCATAAATATGACGTTATTTTTCTTGCGCGTTAAAAAGTCCCTTGTTGTTATGCTTTGTTTTATGGATAAATGTTATGGAATTGATCTGTAAAATTTTCTTTCGCTGTAATTTGCTAGTTATGAGGGGGTATATAATAAATTTATCATTATAACAGTAACTTGATCCGAAGAGCTGTATCACGTCTCGTTGACAGGCGCGGATCATCAGATCAAACTCGACGCTTCGCGTCTCGTTAGATCTGATGATCCGCGCCTGTCAACTCGACGTGATACGACCCTTCGGATCAAGTTACTGTTATAATAATATATATTTATGTATTTACAACTTTGTAATAGCTGTTTAATTTATATTCTTTCTAAATAGTTGTATCACGTCAATCTTAGTTTGAATCTACAAAACTAAACAATTGCCCTCTCCATTTAAAACAGTAAGAGGTAAACAATCATTATAATAAACATGTTTGATTTTCTCTCCCATTCTGCTGTTTTGGACATTTTTGCGAACTTACTATATAGAAAGGTTTCACTTGAAGACTGTGTATATCTTTAACTGATTCGGTATATGATATATCATGCTTGATGTTACACTGCAAAATACAAGTTGAGAATCTACGATCACCAATTACTGTGCACAGCTGACGCAACAAAAAAACTGTGGATTTGAAGACATGTTTGCCGCGCATGCATCGACGTACAAATAATTCCTTTGAACAGTTATACCATATATATTGATCTGAAAAATAAATGAAATGGGCAAATAAAAGTTTATTGCCTTAAATTCAAAATAACTTTGATGAAACACATTTTCCTTTGAACAGTTATACCAGACCCTTAATTTCATAAATTAAAAATATTGATCTGAAAAATAAATGAAATGGGCAAATATAAGTTTATTGCCTTGAATTCAAAATAACTTTGATAACACATTTTTAACGAATAACCGACTAAAGAAATTTTGGTCGATAGTCGGACGATTTTGTGGTCTCATGCATATAAAGACACATTCTCCTTTGAAATTCATTCAAATAAAGACTGAAAACTAGCAGCACAATTATGCAAGGCACCACTGTGTTGTTTATATTTAGTTTAATTAAGATTGTTCTTGGATGTTCACCACTTGTAACCCATGACCAAACGACTTACTGCAGAGCTGCTTACGGTAGGGACAATACTTTTTTTTTTAATATTAAATATTATTACACATTAAATAAACAGATGTGTCCATAAGATTTTGCATAAAAATTGTTTAATATTTATAATTGTTTTTTTTTTATGATGATAACATTTGATTTTTTTTTTAATGAACTTCTTTGCACAGTATTCACAGGCAAAGTACAGCGTTCAAACACTATGGGCTTTCAGTCCGACTTTCAGATTCGAGTGACATCAAATGTAAAGGTAAGTTTGGTCAACACTGTGTAAGTAATTATTGTTTAGAATAAAATGCTTGTTTGGTGGTAATTTTTGATGGCATAAACTCCACAAAATCTGGATGGAAGCAATAGCTTTCTGTTTATAGTACTTAGTTATGTAGTTTGAAATTTATATAATAGAATCCCTAGTTTGTATACCTTTGATTTTGTATTTTATTGCAATAATTACGTGGAGAAAATATTGATATTAAAGCAAATTACCACCGCCCTGGGCGCTTAGAAAATAGCAAAAGGGGGGTACGTAATTTAGTATTCCATTTACAATATTTAATGTCATATTTTAACTTCAAAACATCTTTGAAAAAACTTTAATTAAAGATAGTCCATCCAAATTAAGCTAAATGATTGATTTTCCACCGAGAAATTGGATTCTAAACAAGTTTCATATTCACTTTCTTCAATTTTTGGCAGACTTCTGATACGATTTTAGATGATTTCAATCACTGTACAGGGGACCCTTATTTCCTGAAAATTGAAAAAGACCTAAGAGGGTGCTTATAGGGACAGAGGCGGTTAATAGGGATTATACGGTAATATTGATAAAAAAAAAAATAGGCATATCAACCCCCCCCCTCCCTCCCCCCAAAAATATTGGATTTATTTAAAAGAGAGGAGATGTGGGAGGAGGAGAAGACTGGTTCGACAAAATAAAGAAAATATATATACCTTGATAATTTTTTAAATAATGATTTATGACAATTATTTATTTTTTTTAACCGTTAAGATTTCTAAGATTTAATAATAAAATAAATCATTAAGCTGTAATATTCATATTAATATACTATATACATGTGATATGTTATTCTTACATATCCAAAGAAACTGAATTTTATCTTCAGATTAAACAAGAACTACTTTGCTCAGTTGTATTCTAAAGGATAAAAATCTTTAAAATTTTAAATAAAAATTCAAAAAAGTCTTAAGATAAAAAATAAATCATATCCATGTAAAAGAGGGATAGGGTCAATGAATTTTAGTCTTTAAAATTTTAAGCATGCTTTTAACAGGGAAAAATAGCTTCGAAAGGAAGGGAGATAACAGTGTATGGTAAAGGAGACATGCATCCTTGTGGATTTACAAGTCTGAGAATCAACAAGGAATACATCTTATTTGGCAAGTCCATTTTCAGTACTTGAGAACATAATGTTTGTGCGTATATGAACAACTTTAAAAGACATTGTTTGACATGCATCTTTATCTTTAAAGGTGCATGGACACAGATGTGAAGTTAATGTTTTTGTGTAATATTACGACTTATTTATTTTAATAGCATTTCACAAAAAAATTTATACTTTTGTAGAAATAAATCATTTAATTATTTAAATAATCTATTTTATTTAGTTTCCATTGATGAAGCATCAGCAGCTAAAAAGATAAAAATCATTGACTATCAAGAAATGAGCCAAACCACTTTAAACAGTATGAGGAATTACGACTGCTCTTGTGTGGTTAGTAAAAAAAACCGCGCCTGTTTGGAGTCCCTACGTGACTTTTAATTATCGCGACCGGTGCAATATTCTATAAAAACATAAAATATGTGAATAATTGATTGGAGACGAGAAATATTCGCGGATATTAAAGAACGTTCGCCAGGAAAGCCGTTATCGCTGGTAAATAAAATAAGGTTGACATGAGCATTTTTCCAGATCCTTTGAATATTTTCAGATCGAGATCAACCTTCCACAACAATCAACTCCCTACACTGACATCGCTGCCAGAAACAAATGTGTTATCACAGAGAAAGAACACGACTGCACATTCAAGAATGGATACTGCTCCAGAAAACACTCACGTTTTGGGACACGTGTGTGTCAGTGGATTCCAGGAGTGACGAATTGCTAAATATTGTAAAAGCTTTCGAAATTAAAACATTGTTGCAAGAGATGCTTGTGTTTATAGTTTATAGCCAGTTTAAGCGAACATAATTCCCTAATTTACATGTACCAGTCCAATATGTTATATTATAAACTTTTAAGATGCCCAGTTTTCTTAAATATTTCCGATTTTTTTTTTCTCTTTGATAACTCCTTGAAAGTTAGGGAGGTGATTTCTTAAATAATTCAACCGGAATGTAAATTTCGCCAAGCGAAAGGTCATGAGCTAAAGAGGCCTAATTTGCATGTAAATCTCGTGCGTCCGTCTTTATGTTGTCCAATGGGCGGGGACTATATTGAAATTGACATGAGAGGCCTCGTGTAATTTATGAAATGTACTGTACTGTAAGAAATCACTGTCTTGTTTCTTGGGTATGCCAGAGCTAAACGTGGGATAATTTTCATAACGGGCCTATAGTTTGTTGGGAATGCCAGGCCAACAACGTGGTATAATTCGCATGACGGGGAAGCCCGTTATGCAAATTACTCAGCATCCCATGTTTCAACTATGAAGCCAGTTATGCAAATTATACCACGTTTTCGACTATCGTTGATGCCCTGGCATACCCAACAATCTAGACTTTGATTCCTTGAATAACTGTTCATTTTTAGAAAGAATGGGCCTAGCTTTTTCAACACCGAAAAAAATTGCTAGAAACGTGTATGTAAATTGTATCTAATACAGTAGATTCGCAGCGGTTGGATAATTTTTTTTTTAATTAATCAACATAGGTAATTTATTAATAAAGTCAGTAGATGACTTTAAATATTACTTTTGGTTAAATAAGCCTCTTACATTTAACACTAGAAGTAAAATAATGAGCTACTGAGGAAAATCCACAAACCCGATCTGTTGACTCACTGCTAAAAATATCAATGCAGTAATTGATTGCTAGCTATAAAGACTGTTATCAAGTGCTTTGAACTGTTTTGTTGAAGTGAAAAGATTGTATCTGACCACTAACAAAAAAGTACTTATACATGTACATACATGTACTTTGCAACCTCCTGAATTTGTGTATTTTAGTCACTCAACAGATTTGGTTATTAGTGCCACGTAATATATATATATTAAAGTTAATTTGTAATTCTACTTTATAGTTGGAAATTCTAGCTTTAATCGTGGCTTTTCCAACTTTTAAGTTGAAAATAAAGTTGGTAAATTCAAGCTTAAATCTTGACTTTTCCAACTTAAACGTTGTCTTTTCTAACTTTAATCTAACTTTTCTAACTTTAATCTTAGCTTTTCCAACTAAATCTTGGATTTTCCAACTTTTATCTTTGTATTTCCGACGTACTTTAATCTTGGCTTTAAAAGTTGGAAAAGCCAAGATTAAAGTTGGAAAAATACAAGACATTTAAAAATGGCAAAGAATAGTCAACATAATTACAACAGTCAACAGAAGTTATAGATTTATATTTTAAGGAATCACTATCTAGTTATATAGTTGAGTGTGCCAGGGCATCAACGATAGTTGGAAACGTGGGGCGAATCCCGTTATGCATAAATTATCCCACGTTTCCGACTATCGTTGATGTCCCTGGCATGCCCTAGTAATCCTACTAACTAGTCAGTGATTCCTCGTATTTCCATTTAATTGTGAAATAAAATTGAAACGTTTACCTTGTATACAATTATGTACTTTTAAACCTCGTGAATATTGTGTTTAGTCGCTCAGCAGCTTTGGTTCGCAAGAGCATATTCTCCTTTTTATTTTTACACAAAGACAAACTGTTGACAAACAAGTTAATGTGACAGGTTTTCCAACTTTCCCCCGGAAAGTCAACAAATCAAATCGTAATAATGACCTTTTTTGTACGTCACCTTATTTTTGGGTTGCATTATTGATGAACATGATCATTTGACATTAAATTTGACTATGTATAACTCCGTTTCCTTAATATCAATATAGACCTAAAGCTCACAGTAGGATGACAAGCGTATTGCCCTCACCTCTGATTATTTCAGAGGTTCCGTATTTTATGACCCTGTTCACAGTTTGTTTTCATTTAACCTTCTAGATTTGTAAAATTGATCGTGACATTGTCTCTACATTTCACATTTAACTGCATTATTGTAAATAATAGCATTTATGTACTCATGTAATGAATTTTATGTACTCATGTAATGAAGTTTTGAGTTTGTACTTTTAGCTTGTTAATCAATCCGTTTTTATCCGTGTTTCAATTTTGTGTCAATATTAGAGCGATCGATAGGGGGTAATTTTACCGACCAATCAGAAGAGACACTAAATGTAGATTCTACGTCACTTCTTGTTTTGATTCGATCGCAGTAAGAAGGGTTTTCCAAGTGTTGGAATTTTACAAACTGAAACTCTTGTTTGCGATCGATTTTTTATTTGAAAAATAGAAGTGCGATACAGAAGTATTTGTGAACAGTTGGTTATTTGTCAAATCATACGTATATCCATCAATGCCTTGGAAGCGACTGAAGTTCCTTCTCGTAGGACAAATGCAAAGGAGATAATGAGTGTGCGCCATCTGGGACATTCGTACATGTATATTCTATAGGCATTGAGTGTTCTTGGAACTTTATGAATGCTAATTGTGATGTGTGCAAATCAATCTGGATTGTAGAATTTTCAGTTTGGACATTGGGTTTAAAGGAGGTCTAATATGCATATATGACACGAAAACTAATACTTGTGCAGTGCGTGGGTTTGAATTACATTAGCAGAGCCCCCACCGCGTGTCTGCCTCAGAGTGCCCGATGTATTCTGTCGATAGCTCGTTATCACATTTGGGAGTCGGAATTCGGCGTGTCATCATAGAATTACTGCTGCGAAGACAACCTTGGGCAATCTCTCTTAATTGTCATTAATTTTTGGAGGGACCTGTCATACCTAAAGCCGGATGGTTTGCACATTGCCTGTAATAACCATAGATCAGCTCCAATTAGAGAGTATTTGAGGAGTGCAGTATTATGCCATGCCATTAACAAGGCTAGTAATTCATAAATATTCCATGTAATTCATATTCAATGGAAGCAATAATTAACTATAATAATAAATAATTCTTCCAGTACCTATAATCCATGATGATATTGTTTTGGTGTCACAGTGTAGAACTCCAAATCAGTAATAACTAATATAATAAATTTATGATAGATCTATATATAGTCTACAAGTCAAGTGACATTTACTTTTAATTTCATTTTTTAATTGACAAAATGTCATTATATCATGGAAAGCTTTTCATATAGGTATAAGGGAAAGTTATTTACTTATGAAATGACATGCACACTTTGTTCATGTTATGTCATAGTATGCTCTTTATCTTCTTACTACATGTGGTATGCTCTGCATTGTAGGGGTGCAGAGATAATTTAGCTTTTTGTAATTGATGATTTCCCATTTGTTTGTGCAAATTGGTGAGTTAAGGGTATGCATTGTAAGTCACTCTGTGATGTGCATTGTTAGTCATACAAGTTGATATAAAAGTATGCATTATAAGCCACACTATTATGAGCATTGTTAGTCATACGAATTCATAAGGTATGCATTATAAGCCACACTGTCATGTGCATTGTTAGTCATACAAGTTTATATGGTATGCATTATAAGTCACACTTAAGTGTGCATTGATTGTTAGTCATACGAGTTTATATGGTATGCATTATAAGTCACACTATTGTGTGCATTGTTAGTCATACAAGTTTATAAGGTATGCATTATAAGTCACACTTAAGTGTGCAATGTTACTTAGTCATACGAGTTTATATGGTATGCATTATAAGTCACACTATTGTGTGCATTGTTAGTCATACGAGTTCATAAGGTATGCATTATAAGCCACACTATTGTGTGCATTGTTAGTCATACGAGTTTATAATGTATGCATTATAAGTCACACTTTAGTGTGCATTGTCAGTCATACAAAGCGATATGCATTGTGAGTCACTTGAATGTACATTAAAGTTATATAATCTTTTATTCAATGCATAATTCAAAAATATAAAGTTATGCACTATTGAAAGAAAACCATTGGTATGCATTATAAGTTGCACTTTAGCGTGCATTGTTAGACATACATATGAGTGATTTTGTTTTTGTAGGGCTGATTTGGGGTCGAAATTCAGCCCCTGTCCTAATTGAAAATATATGATGTCTTTTTTCTCAAAATGTAGTGGAAGTTTTCCCAAAGAAAAACTTACAAAATATGTGATCAAATTCGGTTGGTTTAGGCATGTTGGATATCTTCAAATATTAGTTTATGCTTACCCCTATTAGTTCTTGATGCAAGTAATTAGATAATTCATACCAAGAAAAGTCTTATTTGGTTATAACAATTGTTTGTTGATTGAGGTAAAACAAAGACAAGAACAGAGCTTTTCGACAATGTTTTTTAAGTGATATATGCATTCGGAGTCACCTTAGTGTGCATTTTTAGTCATATCTCTTTACTTTAATATATATATGCATATTATGCATTGTTGAAACATTACCGGGTATGCATTATGAGTAACGCTTTAGTTAGCATTCTTAGAAATACATGTGATATATATGCATTGTAAGTCACCTTAGTATGCATTGTCAGTCATATCTCTTTACTTCAACATATATATTTGCATAATTCATGTATGCATTGTTGAAACATAACTGGGTATGCATTGTAAGCCACACTTTAGTGTGCATTGTTAGTCACACATATGATATATGCATTGTGAGTCACCTTAGTGTGCATAGTCAGTCATATATTATCTTTTTACTTCAATGTATATATTATGCAAGGTATGCATTGTTGAGGCTTATCTGGGTATGCATTATAAGTCTCACTTCAGTGTGCATTGTATGTCATACAGGATATTTATATGTGCATTGTATTCTGTTTAATGTGTATTGTCAGTCAGACTTTTCTTTTACGTCGACGTACACATATGCCTAATATGCAATTTTCATCTTTGGCATGCATTATAGGTCACACTGGCATGTGTATTGTTAGGCATACATATATATAGTGTATACAAAATGATCAAATGAGGTATGCATTGTAAGTCGCAATATATGGTGCATTGTTAGTCATACATATCAAATCAATACAGGTTGATAAAAATTTGAATCATGTATCAGCAGTTCATTCAATACATATTCAAGCATTTTATTTGGCTTGTTATATTTGAAACTTATTTCTGACAATTTTTTAAAACTGCTGCAACTAAGAAAGTTTATTTGAACACTTGGCAATTGCTATGTTCTGACACATTTTAGATTTTTTGCAGGAAATATGTCAAAGAGAAGCAGGTGTATGGTGTCAAAAGATACATGGCAAGGAAGGAATCCACACAAAAAAAGTCGAAAACTGGTGAAAAACATTGACTATGAAAAACTCGCTGCTGAGGTACTAAAACAACAAAATCAGTCAACAACGAGCAGCAAGGAGTCAGGATGACCATTCCTAGCAGAACTATTGAGCCAACTTCATCTCCGAGCACTCCCTAGGCAACCCCTCCTACACAGAGCACTATTCAGGCATCCCCTCCATCTACTCGGAGCACTATCCAGACAACCCCGATAGCTACTCAAAATACTGAAAGGTCATCAAGCAGGACAATAAGGGTTGGACACTGTGTCAGGAAGTCAAGATGCCTCAGTGGAGAAATTGGTGACCAGTGTATTGGAAGGTACATGTTCAGGGGAACATATAAAAAAAAATGGACAATCTCATTTCTTTATCTGATGGCATCCCTTAGGAGCATCAATTTCAGTCAAAAATAAAAGGGTTTGGGTAAATATGGGTGAAGAAGTTTCTGGCCAAATCATGAAAATAATTCCTTCACTTGGACAGTGACTTCAGTTACAATTATTGAACAGTAGAATTCTTAAGTATCCCTCTTTTTATGTAACATAGACAAATACCTTTTAAGTTTTCATTTGTATCTACTTAGGGAAATTTCCAACTGACGCCCCTCATCAATTATAGTATCTTACACTGGTTAAGAAAATGTGTAAATTACATGGCTAGGTAATATAAAAACACGTGGAACACAGTTCTTCACTTGGTAGGATTGGTGGCCCCTTTTTTCATTCAGAAACCTTTTAATGATTTTCGGGTCATCCCCATAGCATAAGATGTTGTTCCAAAATTAGATCCAGGAAATTTAGGATAATCTATTACCTTGGATTATCCCAGAAATGTTTCCATAAATTCAGGTGTTCTAGGACTCTGAGGGCACTATGTTTAATTGATGAGATCATTAAATTATTTAGCAGGAGGAATATCTCACATATTACCTGGTAGATAATTTCTTTTTTATTGGTACAACCATTTCAAGAATATATTCCATTGGTATAACAATGTCTTTGTACGTGTCCAAATTAAAGATGATAAAAACACATTTCCTTCAACTACATAGTACATTTGTAAGTATGCTATCAAAATAGCTCTGTTGCTTTGGAATACTGATTGCCTGGGGCTGAAGTACTTAAAGTAAACATAAATTTGAATGATACTAGGTTTATGAAGAAAGTATGCAGTCTTTTATTTGTCTGCTTAGTTTTGTATGTGCTGTATAGGTAAGTAGTTCCCGGAAGGGCATTCCTAATGCGATCAATCAAGTTTAACTTGAGGGTACCAAAAACCTATTTCTTTACAATAAACTCACTTTTGACTGAAGCAAGGGCAGCTCTTGACACTTGGTAATATTTCATTGAGTATTACAATGGGAAATATATACTTCTTTCCTACCGATGATTATCTTTGCAATACCTCACACTTTTCACAGATGCCTCTGGGTCAGTAGATTTTGCTTCAGTCTTGGGGAATATTTCACCTTTTCTAGAAACAAGCATCAATACCACATCATCTCTTGATAATGTAAACACCAGTGGCTTAAAGCAATTTGACTGCATCTTTATCAAATAGCACAAGAGCATCTTAATGTCAATGAAGCTGGAAGATTTTTAAGTCTGGTCAGCGGTTTCAGTTGCCTAATACCTATTTCACCTATAGTTTTATGCAATTTCATTACTCATTTATTTGCCAACAAATACTCAACTAAAAGCATTTCATCCCACACATGTGCAATAGGGTTTATACACAAAATAAAAAATCTTGCAGATCCAGCATAATCTGTTCTTATTAAAAGAATTTAGGTGGTCAATTCATTGTGGTCAACCAGTGTCTCATTCATTTGTAAATTAACATCTAAATTAAGCAGTATCTGTCATTGGTCTGAATCAAAAACTATAGGAAAGACATAGCTTTCGAATTGGTGCAGCAAAGGATAATGCAAAATTGGGATTTTCAGAAAAAAAAAAAATCTATTCAAAAAATGGGGAGATGGAATTCAGATGCAATTAAAAAGAATAAGATTAGAAAGCTTTTATTTGTAAGTGACAAGTCAATTACTTATAGGCATTGTGCGATTTAATTTTTTAGAAATTCGTTGAGTTGACTCTTCAGGCCAGAAGGTGTCTGCTGAAAATCATATTGTTGGCTGCAATCTATCATAAAGTGTAGTTTTTGTGAAGTTAAACCTTCAGGCCAGAAGGTGTCTGCTGAGGTCTATCATGAACTGTGGGTTTGATGAAGTCAACTTCCAGGCCAGAAGTTGTCTGCTGAAAATTATCACGAATTGTATATTGGGTAAAGTTCAACTTTAGGCCAGAAGTTGTCTGCTGATGTTTGGAGAATATCATGTATCGTACACATATGTGGCTATCCATTTGCATTTAATAGGTGATAGCTAAGGTTTAAAGTATGGGTATTGCGATACCAAAGATTGTCTTTTTAATTGTATTTTGTAGACATGTTTTGAGCCAAACTCCTTTAACTTACATTCTAACTTACATTAATATCGGTCATTATCAAACATATGTAACCTTGGTGTTGCAATTGTTACCAAGGAAAAAAAAATGTGCCTACCTCTGAGTTGATCAAGTACATCATGAAATAGTCAGATTTGAATGTGCAAAATTATTACTACTCGGTGATTTCTAATTATACATGTAATAGGAAAACTGGTTATAATGTATGTCCTCGTTATACAAGTTCACTTTGGGTGGCAGTGTGTACAAACATTGCATGCTTGTACTTTGGCAGTTTTTGTCTGCCACCTTTTTTGCTGATTGTTATTTTTTACATTCTGGATTGTTTATTTGGATTTTCTTCATGTAATATGTTACACTGGGGAGATCAACTAATGTTTTGTACAAATTTACACATTCTTTCAAGAGTGATCTCCCCTTTATCTGATGTATCTTTTCATTATCTGTCGTCATTTATACATGTATAATAAATGACAAATTCATCCATCAAACTTTGTGTTTGCGTTACTTTAATATGGATGTGATATGGTCTACATAAATTTAGAAGTGTGTGCAAAAAACTAGCTTCAGTGAACTTGTAAAATTAGTTAAATTACACTGGAGAACATAAAACTGCATTATTGTAAATAATAGCATTTATGTACTCATGTAATGATTTTATGTACTCATGTAATGAAGTTTTGAGTTTGTACTTTTAGCTTGTTAATCAATCCGTTTTTATCCGTGTTTCAATTTTGTGTCAATATTAGAGCGATCGATAGGGGGTAATTTTACCGACCAATCAGAAGAGACACTAAATGTAGATTCTACGTCACTTCTTGTTTTGATTCGATCGCAGTAAGAAGGGTTTTGCAAGTGTTGCCCACCATCCACCCCGATCATTATTCCACCTTTATGCCATACTGCTAAATTAATATGCAATGTAAAGGGTTAATGTATAAAAATGTTTAAAAATACATATATGTTTATATATTTTAATATGATTTTATTTTGGCAGTTGTTTATCTGCCAAAGCAGTTTTTGTCTGCCACCTTTTTTGCTGATTGTTATTTTTTACATTCTGGATTGTTTATTTGGATTTTCTTCATGTAATATGTTACACTGGGGAGATCAACTAATGTTTTGTACAAATTTACACATTCTTTCAAGAGTGATCTCCCCTTTATCTGATGTATCTTTTCATTATCTGTCGTCATTTATACATGTATAATAAATGACAAATTCATCCATCAAACTTTGTGTTTGCGTTACTTTAATATGGATGTGATATGGTCTACATAAATTTAGAAGTGTGTGCAAAAAACTAGCTTCAGTGAACTTGTAAAATTAGTTAAATTACACTGGAGAACATAAAGTAAAATGAGCGTGTTTATTCGGTACAAAATATATATCCAATTTCTTCCAGGCGCTGATGAGACTGAATAGTTCTATTGGTCTGAACTAATAACAAAGAAGAGAAAATAAGCACTTGCCATTGATTTGAAACTTGGCAACAACGATAAATAGAATATTGTATCTTAGTGTAGTCTAATTGTTTGCCAAGTTATATTGAAATCAGACTTAAACTGTAAAAAAAAAAAGTGTTTTGAAAGTATTTCACAGAAATTTTTAATCTAGTAAACATACCAACACCATTAATAGAAGAAAAAAAAATGATCCACAGAATTACACGTCTTAGTTTAATAGACTATTTGTGTGTCAAAGTACATGTATTTAAAAATCATACCAAAACTGTATAGGGCCTATTCTATTGAAATCAAACCTGATAAAAAGAATTATATACACGTAGATCAGCTTTAAGGAAATATAATGCAGAATAACTGGTTTACAGTATGTAAGACCCCTCGTTACGTTTTGAAAGCCACAATTATAAATTATATATAAAAGAGTTGTCAAATTGTTATCAATTCAAGTAATCAATTAAAAAATATTTCATATAGTACTCTAACTAATAAAAAAGAGTATTTTATTTTTGGCGTATAGCAGATTGCGATTTATAGTTTAGCTGATGTTAGATATCAAAATGCGCGAGAGGTCTGTAGCGAGATTCAACAAGCCAAATCTATCGAATTACTGTTAAAATAATATCAAAAAAATAATGAAATGTTTCTACGTGTTTTTAAAGTTGCGATTTCATCTGAATGACAAAAAAAGCCTTTAAGTAACTAACCTCACCCGAGTGAAAATGGCCTTGTTTTTCTTTTCCAATAGAAAAAAATACCTCTTTTTTCTATATCATGTCCTCACCCTAGCCATAAGGGGCATACATGTAGCTTTACGAAATCATGTGGATCTTATTAGAAAAAAAGCTTTTTACATTTTAAAATGAAAATTCTCTTGTAAAATGAGAAGATAGTTAGCACTCAATCAAAAAAATAATTTGAAAAAAATTGTAATTGGGACATTACTTATTCAATTTATCATACTAGTATTATACTTTCATGTAAATTAGTTGAATCTGAATAGTCGACACACACTTGTTTAAAAACACTATTAAACGCTGAATAATGAAGCCACGCTTTCCAGCGTAGCAACAGTCAACATTGTTTGACGACTGGTAATATTCCAAAAAAAAAAAAAAAATAGCGACTGCACAGAATTTATATGTGCGCACGGTTCACTGTTATATGTATTTGTTTAAAACATTCAATATAATATGACTGGCGTCATGAGAAAAGGGCCCTTAACGTCAAAATTTCACATTTTTATTTTTTTCTTGAAATGAATTCTGCATCATTTTCTGTTTATAAAAATACCAAACTTTTGCTCGTATCACGTAAAATAACGTTTTTATGAGATTTTTTACAACACATATAAAAATATTGATAACGTCTCTTTAAGAAAATCATAACGTAAACTGAACGTCAAATGACGTCAAACATAATGTCGAGTCATATCGTGTGTTCTCTGCATCTTTTTCATTATACATGCAGTTTAAAGCAGTTCTTTAGAACCGCAAAAACCTTTTTATTTTTATTTTTACACATAATTTAATGAGAATAGTCATGCATTTTTTTCTATACTTGTATATTTTCATAGAAGATCAGCAACATCAAATGTATTACATTCCAGAGCAAATTCAGTTTTCCGTATAATTCTACGAATAAATGTACGTTCAAATAATTCAATGACTCACAATCAACAAATAATTATATACAGGAATAAATAAATAAATAAATAAATAAATAAATAAATAAATAAATAAATAAATAAAAAGATCATGGGCATTATTGTCTTCTTCAGTTATTCCTTGGTGGGAGTGGGACATGTCGCCTCTTTTGCATGTTCCTTTACAACAGGTCTCACGCTTTTGTAAAGGTATTGAATTCTCTCCGACGAAAGCCCGTCTGTAAAAAAAAAAGTTTTAAGTTTTACGAATGTAAGCCATTGCATTTATTTCTTAAATTACATTTAAAGTCAAATACGAACCTTTAGCCAAGGTATGCGGATGTCGCCTGCAAGATAACGTAGTTGAAGGACTAAGTAGGGTGACTGGTCTTTCATTTTCAGCCGATTTCTCTTTAACGAATACAACACCGGGATTTAGGGCGCTGAAGCGAAAGAAATGGTACTTGCGAATACCTGGCAGAGGACTGAACTGTGCAAGAAAAGACTTCCAGTCTTGCCATGTGAATGCCTGGTCCACTGCGACGGCTCGGTTGATTCTTGAAGACTTGTCTACCGTCCGCACCAGGTCGGAGAGAGAGTCATTGTCTGTTCTGAATAATTTTTATAAATAATTAAATATATTGTTACTAATTTTTGTCATAAGCATAATAAAATGACAGGCAAATGTTTAACACTCAGTATTACCGTCGATAGAGTTTTTTGATGTGAGAGAATTCAGCATCAACTAAACATTTAGTGTGGCCAGGTATCTGAAATCGAACGGTTATTTCTCTATGGAGTCCAACCAAAATGCCCCAGCAAACGTAAGCCATGACATAACGATTTTTGTTCTGACCTGAAAAATCATTAATTTTATTTATTATCTTGATGCGTAAGCACGCTCAAGTTTTTAATATTGAATGAAATAATATATTATAAAATGTAAAATTCGTTTTCTAATTTAACTGTTGGGAGTAAAAATTGTAATTTGACCTGCACAGTTATCACAATGAATGTGACATGCCATCTCTCCTAGTCCGAACTGCTGAAATGCATGATGTAACATGGTTATTACAGTGTTTGGGCCGTTGGACAGTGAACCATCCACACCAATTGTACAATTTTCATCTATAAGATAATTGTACTGTTCTCCTGCCCCTTCCATGCATACCCCAAAGAGCTGTACTTTCCTGGGCGATGTAAATACAGAGGCCCCTCTTGTCTAGAATGATGGGGGAGCGTTAGTTGTTGCGCAAAGTCAAAGGTATAGTGAACCTGAGACAGTTGATTTGTGCATGGAGGACAGCCCAACGGACGGTGCCCGAATGCCTCTTGTTCTTCTCTAGCCAAGTCAACACATTGACGGTAAACCGCATGTTCAGCTAATGAGAAACAACATCATTTTCAGAAGAAATACTAAAAATAATGAATATACATAATTATACTTTAAAAGAATATCATAAACCTTCTATCCTTACATGTATTTCATGTAGAGTGTTAATCTATCCCTGCATATGAATTTATTTCTAGACGTCTGTGACGAAATGTATTAATAAATCCCCCCCTTAAAAAGCTCTTTTATTCTAGTGCTCATGTATTCTTGATGGATGGGGTGTGGTGGAAATTAAGTCTTAAGGAATTTTCACGGAGTTGTTCTTTAAAAAATACTTTACTTGGTATTGTAAAGTATAAACGGATATGTAGGAATGTCAGACCTGAAGACCCCCCCCCCCCTTCTAAACAATCGGAGAGGGACGTTTCGTTTCTTGTGTGTGTGTGTAAAGTTTCTCATTGCTTGTTAGCCTTACCTCACACCACTTAATCAAATTTCACAGACCATCTATCTTGAGTTGTTACTACCCCCCCCCCCTTTCCCCTGCTAAAATGTCTTCAGTAAATTTTGTGAAAAACAGGTAAATTTAAATGTAAAGTTTGTAAGTACCTTGAGAAATTTCAACATGTTTCTGATAATCATGCAGGGCGATTAATTTTTCCTCCTCCGATACTGCACTTATCACGCGGCATCTAAGCAGTTCACATGTTGAACAGACATCCGATCTGGGGGACGCGATTTTGATGTGAGGAACACACTGTAGCCAGATGCTCTTAAATGTTGACAGTTCCACTGACCTATGTTTAGTTTTTTATAGTGTATATTTACTGTCTATTATAATAAAGATTAAAATATACAGTGTAACATTAAACCCGTGATATAGTCAAATTTAAATTGATTAAAATTTAAAAATTTAATTCAACACGTGTCTGATTTTAATCAACTAAATATTAAGGACATTACAGACCTTTCATTGCTCTCCTCACAGACGGACTTGTATTTTAAGTGAATGTCAACTTTTGTTGAGGAAGCTGGCAAAAGAATGGGAGTTTGGACAGCATCATTGCCATGGGGTACAGCGGGGAGGGGCAACCCGCACTCCTCACTAAAACGCACAATAAAATTGACTACTCTCTTGATATCCGGGAAAGATAGTGCGTGTTTGGGCTTTCTACCCTTGTTACCATGGGACCTTGGAACTGGTCCATTAAGTTTCATGTGTTTAATCAAAAGTTTAAGATACTTCTCGCCGATATCATGCATGACTAGAAAAGCTTCTCTACACACTTCCCTATCGTCATAGTTGTACATGTACCTTTGCCGTTTTTTGTCAGTTGTTTCGATTCCACTACCCTTACTTCTCAGTTTTCCCATTAGATACATATCTTTTTCATTACGTGAAAGTTCGCGCATTGTGAGTATGTGTTCTTTAATCTCTTCATATTGAAATTTATCAAAACATTTCCAATGGCAAGAACAACCAAGTGAAATTGTATCTTCTAAATTGTCCAAACTAGGATCCTCCTCAAATACAACTCGCCCTTCTTCACTCTGTGAAAAGTTTGAAGAAAGTCTTCTGATCATTTCTTCGTCTGATTCTATCGGTTCAGAAAAAGAGGGCTCTTCACTGTCTGCCTCGGTGTCATCATTAACTTTATGTTCCGACCTCGGAAAGAATTCCCGAATTACTTCATCAAGTTCCTAAAATATTCCGGAAAAAATAAGTCTGTCGAATATCATTTTGTAATTTTTTATATCTGTGCTTATAATGGTAACACCTAAACATTCTAAAAATAGGTTTTGATTTTATATGTGAACGTTTAATATGTGTATGGGCTTTAATTACTGTTTTTTTTTTCTTTTAGAAACTACATTAACAAGGACATTTCAGAAAAAATGTTTGTACATGTATAATCGTGCACAATACTGAGATCGCTACGATAATATAAAAAAATTTTGTTTTTTTCTTCATGGACTAGTTGGTTTCAAAATATAAAAATTTACGTATCCAACGACTTAATAATTGTGGCATATTTTTTTTTTTTAAAAAGGGGATTAATTGATAAAAGGGAGAGTGGACCCAAATAGTTACAAAAAGCGGAATGAGGATGATTAAGTGTGTGTTAAGGGAATGGGGGGGGGGCTTCCTCTCCTCTTTTCGAAGAAAAAATCAGGAACCAATCGGCCTTGAAATAATACTATAAAATTAAATCGATGCCAACAAACTTTCCAAAAGAAGGAGGATATTACGTACAAGTTATTCTCTTTAGAAGGATGCGTATTAAAAAAAATACCGCAAAATACTTTTTTTTTATTTTGTTTTTGTTTTGTTTTGTTTATTTGTTTTGTTTATTTGTTTTGTTTTTTGTTTTTGTCGTAAAATTATAACTATATTAAGTTTTAAAAAAAAAAAACATTTTTTTTGTACTTTGAAAATCATAACAACCAAAAGATAATGTACGATGTGCATGCAACGTACAACATACATAGACAGTGCATTATAAAACATTTTAAAACATATTGACAAAACAACTTTTCGTGTAAACCCTCTTGTTAAATAAATAATTCAAAGCAATTTGTACCTGTAAATCCATTTGGAAGTCTATTTCAAGCCTTTATATTAGAACTGCCATGTGATGAATTTGTAAACAACACATCCTGTATGTAAACAAATGCAGCCGACAAAATAACTTCCGGGTTTACGTTCCCGCGATAATGCAGTTCTTGTAATCAAGTTCACGAACTTTGACGTCGTTTTCTGTGAATTGTGACGTAAAAAGATAAGGGCCCTTTTCTCATGACGTCAGTCATATAATAAATATTGCATGAACATTGAAAATTTTCACCCCTCGAAAACCATTGTCAACCTCAGCTGCACCTCGATTGACAATTATGGTTTTCTTGGGTGAAAATTTTTAATGTTACACTCAACTTCATGCAATATTTATTTAATATGTAATTCATGCAATATTTATTTATATAAATGGTGCCTGTTTTTGGAGGGTAACATTTGAAATTGACACCCCAAGGAAAACCATTGTCAACCGACGCGTCAGCGGAGGTTGACAATGGTTTTCCGAGGGGTGTCAATTTCAAATGTTACCCTCCAAAACAGGCACCATTTATTTTATTATACTGAATGTCTTGTTGATTTAGGACGTCAGCAAAAAAAAAAAAAAAAACCGTCGATCGTCTTTACGTTCATGTATAGAAAGCTTTCAGACTCACCGGTTCACTAATCTCCTTATTGTTTGTTTGATATTTGAATTAGAGTCATTTATCATATAAAGTTTCATCATTTCTGGCTCGCAAGCATGTTTCCTACACTCGCAAGCATACTATCGTCTGTCGTTTGTTGTTTTCAAGTAAGCTATATCGGACGCGAGCTTTTATTGACGTCAAGTTAATTCCGGTTCTTTCAAACGCGCAACTGACGTTTAGAGAATTCTACGGTGAACCGTACGCGCATAATTTCCACGCAAGTGGCATTACCGTTGTGTTACCCGTTGTCACGTTTGTTGCTTAAGGCTCAGGGTAATCGAACGGATTGTTAACTGCGTCTAAACCAATCAGATTTTAGTATTTAACATGAAAGTATAATAATAATATTTCGGTCGAAACACTCTCGAGCTCGTATACACAGGTATACACGGAATAGGTACAGAGAAGTTGACTTTTTCTGCTAGTCTAATATTTTCGAGTGGGTATTGATCCGCCTATGGCACATGACTCATGAGTTTTTTTTTTATTTTAAGGTAAAATTAGCAAGTTACAAACAACTACTGGTATATAGATCTATATACTGTAACACCTCTTGCGGAATCAATATCAAGCTCAATCTATTGAAAAACCGCTAAAATCGTATCACATTTTATTTTCAATCAATTTCAAAACACCTACTAAGTACTTTGATCAGTGTTATTTTTGTGAAGAGATGCGATTTCATCTGAATTTAACGGAAAAAATTCAAATAACAAGAGGCCCATGGGCCACATCGCTCAACTGAGTAACTTTGGCCATTCTGTCATTCAACATATTTCCCCCTTTGTAACCTAACTTAACATTGACAATCCTAAGGTGTCATGATTCGAACAATTTAGAATCTACACTACCCGAGGATGCTTCCAGATAAGTTTCAGCTTTTCTGGCTCAGTGGTTCTTGAAAAGAAGATTTTTAAAGTTTTTTCCTATATATTTCTATGCAAAACTTGGATTCCCTATTGTGGCCCCACCCTAATCCCGGGGGTCATGATTTGAACAATTTAGGTGAGGGAGGGGAGGATGAGTGTGTGTTTATATTTATCACATATTTCAACGTGAAACATGGATTTCCTACTGTACTGTGGCCCCATCCTAACCCCCCTCCCCTCGTTACAATGATTTCTCAAGATCTATCACATAAGTTTCACACTTGTCAAGTGGTTCTTGAGAATTTCTCTACATATATGTATTTCGATGTACAAGTTTGATTCCCTATATTGGATCCACACTATCCTGATATGAACAATTTACAATTCACATTAACCTCAGGAAGCTTCCACACAAGCTTCATCTTTTCTGTCCAGTGGCTCTCCAAATTATGTAGTGAACCTTTTTGTATTTTCTTGGTTACATGTATCTCCCCTTGACGGGAGCTTGAAAGGTTTACAGAGGGATGTCTTGACAGTGGACAATTGATAACCTGATAGAGTTGCTTGAGCACTCAGCTTAAGTGAGCTCAAAAGTGTCAAATTATACTTTCTCTATCAGAAACTTTATGGACCAGGCATGAATTTTTACATTTTTTCTGTTGGTGACTTTGAACATTCCACAATGGCTTTGCGTTGATGTTACAAAATACCTTGTATTCACTTATATCATTTTCATAACTGAATTGAAATGCATTTGATCTCACAGCTAGGTTTCAAAATTATTACAAACTAAGGGACAACAGCTGTCTCACAACTGAATATTTTTGCCTGGTCTCTGACAAGTAAAGCTACATGTAATGTTTATGATACACCATGAGCAGATTTTGCACATATACATTTGTACAAACAAATCAGCATTCAGTGCATGTATGTTAAATTCAAGGATCTAAGACTTAATCTCATTTTTGTGCGTAGTTTAACATTTTGAAGAATGCTCATTGTACTTTTGTACAACATGTATATGTAATTGATGAATCTTTGATAGAATTTCACAAACTGATTAATATTGTTCAATTTATTGAAATGATAGCCATCACTTTTACTTCAAACAAGTTCTGCAAACAGTGTACAAATCATGTTCAAGAAATGGTAATCATTTAGCAACATTTCAGACTGTACCTCTACAATACAAACAAAGACCACATAATTATCTTCCTACCTGTATAGATTTGCAACAAAGTGACGTGGCTGAGGATGTGAAAATATTAAGTACTTTCTTCAATATTAACTAAAGTAACTGGGCTTAGAGAGGCTAGACAATTCTTCTGAAAAGATAATGAAACAAGAGTGTGCTATATATGCAATCTTGTTATTAATGTACAGATGTGATAAATGAATACTCTTATGGTACCATAATGCGAATTTATCAATGAAAAGGCAATTCAAAAATACACTGCTTTGTATATCTACATAAAAGATGATGATCAACAATGTAACATACACCA